AAAATAAGTGAGTAATACTAGTAGCTACAGTGAATATTCTCCCCCTACTTCTAGAGTAGTCTTTTTATCCAATCCAACCCTGCCTTCTTACTTGAATTTATTATTAAGAAGCTTAGAATTATCCCAGATTCTCTTCTTACTAATTCCTTAAAAAGTAGTTGCTGCAAGACCACCACCTCTGACTGTAGCCTTTCAGCTCAGGTGCTTGCCAAATACTTATTGAAATACTGAATATTGCTTCCAAACAACTTGCAATAACATATTCTGTTATTGTCTCCTACAGTGCTCCTTTGATTACTCAAAGTGTCATTAACTGAGGAGTGTGGACTTAGAACCTCTTAAGTGGGAAGTTTGGACCACTTAATAGTTTGAGGGTGACTAGGAGTAATCTTGGTCTTGAAATTAGTCCTTCAGCACAGTGATAGTACCTGGCTTTTATATACATTAAGCCAGAGTTTCATACACATAGCTGACAGAGCATGTGGGTTGAAATTTGTTGGAATTTTGACTCTCTTTCTCTCTTCATCCCTAAAAAATCCCTTTTGTTTATTCTTATGAGTGATAATGATTAAATGATAGAATACAAATTATTATACAATTGTTGTTAGTTTCTGCGTGGTATCTTGTCCTGTTGTCTAGTGCTGCAATCCTTGTAGTCTTCGAGCCCTGGTCTAGTCTTTATCAATAGTCAATTACTCCAGTCATCTATTCAAGAATTTGTTGATTTTTGTTATTCATTATGATATTCATTTTTCTCTCAGAACCACAGATTGAACTTGATGTACGTAGTCTATTTAACGCGTAGGCTCTACTAAGCAAATAAAAATCATTGGCTCTTTCTCTCCTTTTCCGACCCTTGAGCCACTCCAACAAAATTCATTCTTTTTGTTGCCCAAAAAATTTTCTCTTCTCCGAAAATTCTCCGCCTCTCCGGTCTCTATTTCATCAAAATTAACAGAGCTCAAGATTGATGCTGAGGGTGAACATGAGACCTGAGCTCTGTTGGTCAACAATACTGAAAGAGTTGGAGTTCAGTTTTGCTTCTATATTACAATCTTCTTTTATGCAGCTTGACACCCAAAACTTATAAACCTGGTCATGGTCATATCATGGCATTGCAATTTCAGAAGCATAAAATTGGTCTCTGCTCATAGAGATGGGCACACCAGAGTGGTTATAGCATCACCCATTGAGTGTTGGGTCACAACTCACAGGTTCTCAACAATGTGTTGGGTCACAACTCACAGGTTCTCAACAATTAACTTGCTTTCTGGCACAGTCCTTTTGTAAATGCTAGGATGTCAATGAAACACAGCACATCCGCATCATCACAAAAAAATCATAGTGGTTGCCATAGAGGCAACGGTGCAACAGATTACATGTATTTGTATCGGATCATATTGTCTTTATTTTGAGCCTGATACCGGTATCAGTATTTTCTTTTATTGGTGAAAAAATTTATTGTCTTGGATTGGGATTTACAAATGAAAAAAATGTCTTTTTTTTTCTTCAATACGGCCAAATATCTTGTGTATCAGATACGGTTTTGGTGGGATCAGTCATCTGAGACCATACAGAATACTTGTCTCACTTTTCAAAGACAATACATGTGTATTGTCTCAGGAAAGTGAGACAACACAAATCCGGTATTTTTGTGTATTCAAATTCTGAGACAATACAAATAAACGCCTGATACCGTCTTGTATCGTCTCTGTTGCACCGTTGATAGATGCAATGGAAGGAAATGTGGTCCAAGCTCATGTGTGGAGGGAGACATTCCAAATGGCTAGAGGATTAATGCCAGGTTGTTGAATTTTATTTTAAAAAGTGATAATTAGATTGAGAAGTGAACACTATCAAGCCAGCTAATTTATATATGTGTGTGCACATTGGCTTACTTTCTGGATACACTACAATAATTTTATGTTAATGGAAAAAACTCCCAATTCTTAGTCAAACAACTCCAAGGATGTAATAGACATCAATTTTGGGAGTTGTTTGAAATTGACCAGTTTGGAATACAACATGTGAGTTGTTGAATAAAAAATGATGAGATCAAATTGGAGTCAATTCATCAAATCTGACATTAGACTTGTCAGATTTGGGAGTTGTGCATGTGGAAAATCATCGACCTGGTCAAACAACTCCCAAAATTGATTTGGCTACATCTTGGTAATTGTTTGACTAAGACTTCAGAGGGTTTTTTTAATACTCTACTTTCAATTTGTAGCTCTTTTGTATGTATATATGTTGATCAAGATCCAATCTTGTAGAAATTTTCCTTTGTTTTGGAACTCCCTTCCACTTCAGACCCAATACTTCCCCTAAACTCAGGCAACCTAAGGCATTGTCCCAACCCATGAAGG